ACCGCTAAGCCATGACTTTTTGCTCGTCTTCCATCCGATATACCAGATAGCAAGTACATATCTTTGGAACCGATGCTGTAAATACGGGGCTGTGCAAAAGGATCGTTGTCATTGTGCAGAATTGACGCCTTTCTCGCCCTCCAACTATTTTTCAATATTCTGTTTTGAAGCTTTGTGAGGAAATACCAAAAAATTAGTTTCGGCTCGAAATGCACTTCAACTGAAATTACATAGAGTCCACTAATATAGAACTGTAAGTCCTTTTTGATTGTAACTCCTGGGCTGGGGAGATTGAAGTTTTCCCAAAGAATAGTGTTCAGAATCGGTAAGAAGTGATTGAATAACAGCTGTGTGTTCTAATCATACTAACTATTGCGACCCTTGATTAAATCTGAATGGAGCAATTTTCAACTGAGTGACAATAGAAATTCGTGATGGCATTGGTTGGATTCTATATCCATTTTTTGATTTGTTTTTATGTTCGTGCCGCCTTCTCGATCAATGAAACTAACGTGACTTGCTTCTCGCGATTATTCGCGCTTATAGCTGGTATTGTGACCTTTCTCCAGTTTTAGTGTTCATTGACCCCTTCTGAAAGTGCTTCTTCTCTTTGATTGACGATTATAATTACGATCCTCCAATCATTGATATCGGAAGCACCAAATCTTACTTAAAGCGTCTATTACTACCCTGTTTACAAGAGAGAAACCTTTTATAGGACTAATCGTTACTCACGATTAAACACAGCAGCAAAGCAAGCAAAACCAGAATTATAATTCCAAGTGTGATCACAACCGCAATCCACGCCTTTACAAAGGATGTCGCCTCAGGTTGCTCACTCGGACAAGTTGTCGTTAGTGTAGGACCAGCGACCTACCTTACACTTTCAACGGATACCGTGAAATTTGAGCCTTCTTCATCTTTCTCTATTACCTCCTTCAAAGTGTCGGCATGAACATCATTCGTAGTTGTAAGGAAAACTGTGAAGTCGAAAATTATACTCCCCATATGGAAGTTTTTCACCTCAAGATCAAGTAAATTCTGTTCGTATTTCTTTTCGAGAATTTCTTTTCAATGGGTTTCAGACCTGCTCTTAAGGTGTTTGTACTTAAGGGAATTGCTATTTGCATATTCGTTGTCCCTAGGCTCCTCCATTTTGCCTCTTCCATCGAATTTCTCAGTGCCTTCTATTGTAGTCATAGTACAAATGAAAGAAACAAATTTTATTAGTAACGGCTGAACGTACGAGTAATTTCGAGAACATTTCACGAAAAGTGTCAGATAACCAATGATAGAATGCTACTGACATGCTTACCCCTACGCAATGATGTGAAGAAGTCATGTTTAGGAGTGACCCTAAAGTTCCGTGACGTATAAAGGGTGTTAGTATAAACTACAACAGTGGATAGCGTTGAGGACCCACTATGATTAAACCACAGATCTGACGTATAGATGTAATACAACAAATCTGAAATATACATGTTACACCACTGATCTGAAGAATGGATGTTCTACCACAGATCTGAAGTGCGGGTGTTATACCACAGATTTGAAGAGTGGATATTATCCCACAGATCTGAAATATAAATATTATACTACAGATCTAAAGTATTGATGTTATACCACAGATATTAAACATAAATGTTATACCACATATTTGAAGCATGGATGTTATACTACACATCTAAAGTGTAAATGTTCTACCACAGATCTGAAGTATAGATGTTATACCACAGAACTGAAGTCTAGATATCATATCACAGATCTGAAGGATAGATGTTATACCACAGATCTGAAATATAGATGTTATACCACAGATCTGGAGTTTAGATGTTATACCACAAATCCGAAGTATAGATCTTATACTACAGATCTGAAGTATAGATGTTATACCACAGATCTGAAGGATAGACGTTATACCCCAGATCTGAAGTATAGACGTTATACTACAGATCCGAAGTATAGATGTCAAATTACAGATCTGAACCGTGGATGTTATACTACAGATCTGAAATATGGATGGTATACCACAGATCTAAAGCGTGGATGTTCTACGAAAACATCTGGCCCCAGATGTTCGAAGGGTGGATAACGCTATCCACCGAATAAATCTCTATCCGGTGGATTGCACAGGACGTTTTGCTAACATTTATCTGTTGGGTTGCAGTTCATCTGTTGGGTAGCGTTGCCAGGTCTTTGAACAAATAGGCCTTGAAAATTAAAATTAATACCACAGAACTGAACTGTTAATGTTATACACCAGATCTATAGTATGAATATCGTGCTGCAAACATGAGATGCGAATGGTTTTCTACAAATGAAGTATGGATGGTCTGCTTATTCACTACCTTACCTTTTGACGATGTAGTGGGTGATTGCGACGTTACTGTTGGTGTGGGACCAGCGACCTCCTTTACACTTTCAACGGAAATAGTGAAGTTTGAGCCCCCTTGATCTTTCTCTATTGCCTCCTTCAGGCTGTCGGCATTAACATCCGTCGTAGATGTGAGGAAAACTGTGAAGTCGAAAATTATACTCCCCTCCTGGAAGTTTTCCACCTCAAGATTGATTAAGTTCTGTCCGTATTTCTTTTCGAGAATTCTTCTTAAATGGGTTTCCAGCCTGTTATTGAGGTCTTTGTACTTATCGGAACTGCTATTTTTATATTCGTCGTCCCAAAGTTCATTCACTTTGCCTTTTCCATCGAATTTCTTAGCGCCTTCTACTGTAGTCATAATACAAATGAAAGAAACAAATTTTATCAGTAATGGTTGTTCCTGCGGGTTATTTTAAGCACGTTTCACGTAAAGTGTCAGGTAGCCCATGATACGTGACTGCACCTTTGCAATCACGTGCAGAAGTCAAATGTCATATGGTCAGGAGCGACCCTCAAGTCCCGTAACATAATAACGGATGTTGGTATAAACTAAAGAAGCGGATAACGCTATGATTATACTGCACATCTAAAGTGCAGATGTCATACCACAGATCTGAAGTGTAGATATTGCACCACAGAACTGAACTATGTATGTTATACAGCAGATCTACAGCATGAATATTGTGCTGTAATCATAAGGTATGGATGGTTTACTTATTTACTGTGTTACCTATTGACGATGTAGTAGGTGGTTGCGACGTCGATGACGTAGACACTG